TTTTGTTTTTTGCGCTAGCCGCCAGATGCAAGCGAGTGCGTTCCTCTGGGTCTGTGGCACCGTGGCCACCACGGAATACTTGGCTCGGAGATGGTGGGGCGCAGCCGCTCAAGCAAAGTGTCAAATTCACGTGGCGGCATTGGAAAAAAGCTAAATACCGTCAAAGTGAAGAGAAAATAAATTGTGCACTATCTTTTCCCCGTATACAGAATCGTTTTTAGGACGAAGCTCCTTATGGCGTGGCTTGTGCGTCCCTCGTAGTACGTAACCACTAGTGGCACATACCCGAAATAGGTATAACATTTGACCCCCAAGGTGGTGCCGGTGAGAGATTTCTTCTGTGCGTTGTTTAACAATAAAAATAGTGCTCAATGTACATGCCAATGGATGCTAATGGGGAATGAGAGACAGGAGCATTCGGCTTTTAGCAGCCATTGGCATGTACATTGAGCACTATCGGACAAGAAAGGGTTGCTACATTATACTCGCTGGATGTAACCCCCTTAGTTTTAGAAAGGTTTAGCGAGCGTTGAGCCGCAAGGTCATGAATACAATGAACTAGTATATACCATGAATGAATTCGAGGTGGTTAAAGGGGGAAGCAGATACGAAGCGCAAGCCGTAAGAAATTAAACGCTGAATCCTCCTGTCTCTCATTTCACATTAGCAGCCACTGGCATGTACATTGAGCACTATCTGACAGGAAAAGGTTGCTACGTTATATTCGCTGGGCGTAACCTCCTTGGTTTTAGAAAGGTTTAGCGAGCATTGGGCCGCAGTGCCATGAATAGAAAGAACTAGTATATACCATGACCTCAAGGTGGTTGAAGGTGGGAAGTAGACCCGAAGCGCAAGCCGTAAGAAAGTGTGCGTGTGCCACCTCTCGTTTAGTCCTTGGAATGTCCACTGAATGGCGGTGCTTCTATATGGGGAATATATGATAAAAAAAATTGCCCGCAGCTTCCCTCGGGGGAACACTGAGGAGGATGCGGACCATATAATTGGTTAACGGGGTGTTAAAGTGCGACTTACTTGGGTCGATGGCTAAATTGGTTAACGTGGTTGTGAAATGGGGTGTTAAATTGCGACTTACTTGGGTCGATGGCTAAATTGGTTAACGTGGTTGTAGGAGGGGGTGTTAAATGAGTGAACACGTACACACGTATGCGAAAGGGCGGCGCTGGTCGAAGGGACGTCGACCATTGTGTTTGTGGATTCGTTGGAATTCATTTCATCGCGACCTTGGACGTCGACGCGCCGTACAAACCAACCAACGAGCGGCAACTGAGCGAGCGAGCGCCGACCTTGAGTATATATACAGCACGACGGCGCATGCACTGTCAGCTGTTGAATGTTCTCGAAGCGCGACGCCACATGCACGTCCACTGGAGAATCAGGAGAATTGTAGATGTCGAACGCGGTGTGTAGAGGAGGAAGGGTGCACAGACGGTGGAGGAGTGAAGCGCGCGCGGTGTGTAGAGGAGGAAGGGATGCACAGATGGTGGAAGAGTGGGCGACGGCGCATGCGCGCGCGTCAGCTGTCGAATGTTCGAGAAGCGGTGCGGACGGCGCGGACGGCGCGGACGACGCACTACAAGGCGCGAGTATAAGATGCTCCGCATCTAAAAGATGCGAGATGGTGGGACTTGGAGTACTGAATAGATGGACGAACGGACACACAGACAGATGCCTGGATCGACGCATGAACGGACGCAGGGCGGATGCATGAACGAACGCAGGGACGGGCGCACGAACATACGCATGGACGGTCACACAGACGGACGCATGGACGGACGAATGCTTCGCCCCACTCTGCATCATTCACTCCGTGGATATGCTGCCATTTTTTTGTCTTGAACTTGACTTGTTCCCGCCCTGAATGCAGCGCGTTTGAAACGTGTTTGTGCTTCATGCCTTCGCGACGACATAAAGACACCGCGTTCGAGACACGTTTGTGCTGCATTGTAAAGTGTGACAAGTGAAGTTAAATTCGAGGACCGTTTCTGAAGAAGTACGAATCTTGGACAGACTCCTCGTCGTCTCAGCGCAGCTCGGGAGGCCGGCGGCTTCCCGAGCTGCGCCCGTGGCGGCCGACCAACTCCCGCGATCGAAAGAACGGTCAAACTTACTACCAGTATTTTTTTTTTGAGGCATCTGTGATGCCAGCGCTGACACCACGGCACAGCGCACCTGCACCATGACAATGTCTTGTTCTTCGCTTTAATCGAGCTTGACGCTGTTGGGAACGCTGTGCAAGAGCGGACGACAACAATAAACACGGCGCGCTCGGTTTGCTCCGCTCACTCAGCTGGCGGCGATTAGCTGATCGGCGCCGGTCTTCAGAGTTGTCCCTGATAACGAGATCCAGACGTGACTCTCCGGTTTCGCGACTTCCGGTCGCTTGCATGCAGCCTCTGCTGGTGTGAACATCAGTCGTTTTTTGGTCGCCAGTCGCGATTGGTCGCGCGACCGCTGCTATTCGCCAGTGTGCACCAGCCTAAGGCCGCGTTCACACTGAGCATACCGGCTGCCGAAAGTGCTCCGAATCTGGTTCGGCGGCGGCGAGATCCGCCGAAAGGGCCCTCTCCGCGCCGATCGCTCTCGGACCGATTTTTGCGGCGTCTGCCGCCGAATCGGTCCCCGCGGACCAATAGGAGCGCTAGTCAAGGAATTTTGAAAAATGGCGGCCAAGCCCTACTCACTTGTTATGCTGCAGTGCACGTAACCGAATGTTGAAACCAACGGGAGTTTAACCTACTCTGTGCCTACTTCGCCTCCGTATTTCGTGAAAGAGGTGACCGAGCTTGCTGTTGGCGTGCTTGTTGCGGTCTTGCAAAGCAAAACGAACCCACCAACGCCGCTGGCGTCGGTGGTTTTTCTGCTCTTCGTGCATTACAAGACAGCCACTTGCCAGCAAAGTAAGCAGTACTGTCTTTCCTTGCTTCTTGCGTACGAGAATCGTCGAAGTATACACCACCGGATAGCGTAGTAGCGTTTGCGAGCCGCGACAACAACCGGGTGACAGCGCATCCATCCCGCGTTCGCCCCGTAGTAGATGGCATATTCGGCGGCGCGGGGCGCGTCGAGTGCGAACGACGCTGTGTTTCGGCGGCAGGGGAATTTCGGTCGCGGTAGAAAGCGCGGATATTTCAGTGTGAAATAGGCATAAGATTGTAGATAAAGCGTTCCCAGCGAGTTTCACATGCTTACCAGCTTTATTCTGCCTTTTGGATAAAAAAAGGCACGAGTTTAGGTAAAGTGTTGAGCTTTAAAGGATTTGGAGACTCACCTGTTAGTCATTTCCCCAAGGAAAAAGCCAAAGGTTGACGCCATCGAACGCATGGTCGATCTATAAGAGCAAAGTTTAATGTACCGACAAAGTCAAGAAATAAATAAGGTGAATTTTATTCATTTTCCTTACGTACACACGCACGCTCACACACACTATCTAGAGCATGCAGAGAGATTGTTTTTAACTCATTTGCAAAGTTTCTGCAGTTTTATTTGTACTCTTTTGAACATCATGTCTTCATAGACACACAATTTTTGAGGGCAGTGTGTGCCGCTGCCACAGGTATGGTATTCAGCATAATATCAGAGTGATGACCATTGCAAGAGAAAACAAAATGGCTTGTTTCACAAAAATCTCTTGTGACCGGCACAAAAAGCTGGCGTTCCCTCTTTTGATTTGGCCCCTCGCAGTGGTGCGTAGTCGGTCATATAACTTGCGGGCTGGGAAAACTGTTAGTACCAGGTCTTCATTAAACCGTTGGGCCCTCCTGGGCAATTGTACTTCTCTGCCTGTTCTTGGATAGGTATATTTTAGTAGTGGATCTCAATTACTATATCTTGAAGTAGAGCTATTACACACCTCAAAACTAATTACGAAAGCGCTTTACCCTAAGCGTCTACATGCATATAAATTACAAGAAAACATAATAGACTAAGCGGCTGACCGCAATATTATTGCCAAAACGGGGAATGAACACCGGCAAAAAATACTATGCACAAAAACAATGCACTAAATAATGCAACAGCCATTCTTTTATTTTTATTAACCAAGTGAACAAAGTTAACACAAGTCCATGGTGCTTATTGCCTGTTACAATGTGTTTAACGCTCTTAAATGTATTAATTTATTGCCAGAGCCTACGCCAAGAAGTCGGGAGCACACATGATACCTCGAATTCGGAGCAAGAACGAAACATGGTGGCGATGAAGAACGACAAAAAAAATATGTAGCATGGACACACGTACCTTCAGGTCTCAGAGAAAACGTATGTGGGCGTCAGCTTGACGAACGACACGCTCCTGTGTCATTCCTCAGTTGTCCTTACGAAGCAAGAACAGTCGCAGCATCGGTCCCCTTGCCACGACAGTTCACCACACAGCATCGCCCAACCGTTCGGATTTCCAGTCAAACAGATTGCGAATAACCAGCGCAAAAAACGCATCACATATTCACGCTGCAGTTCAAGGACCCGGAAAAAGACGGTATTCTGAAGTCGCGAACAAGAACATTAGCATGCCCTGAAAACTTTGGTCGGGCTTGGCAATACATGTCCATTGGGCGACGAGAGAAACCGTAGGCACGTCTGGGAAGCTAAACACGCTGGTCAAAATGGAGTGACGCCATAGCCTGTGGCCGACACTGTGAGCAGGTCTGAGTTTATCTAGATGCCATTGGTGAGGCCCCTCTATTTCTCAAAGATAGCGCGAAGCCCTGTGCAAAAAGGAGAGGGCGGATTTTCTCCCCGCCTCAACGTCTCTCCTCTCTTCTTCGTCCTCTTGTGCTTTCCTATTAGAACAAATTCCACACGCGACTAGTTAGCCCATATGACGCCTTTACTGTTGCCACTGCTTTCCTTCGCCACTGGCGATCACGCACGAAAACGACGCCATCAAAGGGCGTAGAAGAAATGATACACGTGCGCTCTGTTCTCTGGCATAGCCTTTTTAAAGCTTCTTGAAGTTTCTAAGATGCTATTGAGCGCAGCGAGATGCCAACACGTTGCGTTGTTGGCAGCTCGAACAGCTTCACCAAGGGGGACAAACTTTTTCTGTTCCTCGTGGAACGGAAAACCTCGAATGCCGAGCAATTCGGCTCCATCGAACGGAAGCTTTTTGAGGTAGGTCGATCAATACTAAATTCTTTCACGCATATTTTGCTTTGTAATTTTTTAAATCAAGCCAAGGCTCATTACTGATGTCGAAAGATTAAAAAAAGATACATCATGACAATATCGGCCAAGTTTTCTCGCAAGCAGTAACTGCATCGCAATTCTCAGGGTTGGCACATCACCAATTGTTTCGAGGAAATTCGCTGCAACGTTTCAGAAAAACAATCTTAGAAAGAGCTCTGTTTATTGACTGAGTCCTGGCACGGCCCGTAGATTTTTTGAAATTGAATTGTCACAAAGTGTTAAAACTTACTCTGAAAAAGTCTGCAATCTTTTTGAAGCGGTAATTTTGCCAAATTTATTAACTTGAGAGTAGTAATAAGATGTAGTTGATGAAGTAAGAGGCATGCCAAGTTAGTAGCATCGTATGATGGGCGCACTTTACTTCGCAATGTAGCGGGTGTAAGATTTTTTGTGTGTTGTACATTTTATACCCTTCAGTTTATCCGCCTTTCTCAGTCTACTTGTAACCTATTTTCTTTGTTAAATTAGAATTATTGTAAAGCAGTTGCTCAATTGTTGCTTAACGATGCGCTTTATTATCTTGTTGCACGTTTTAAGTGCACACTTGCCTTGTAAATACACACCAACTTATCCAGAGCAAGGACACCATACTTTTTTTGTTTCGTTTTGTTTACGCCGGAAGCAAAATTGTTTGCAGCATATTGCGCGCGTATTTCAATAAACAAACTGCAGACGATGCAATGCAGAATGTTTGTATTTTTTAGGAACGCTTCACGGATTATCTGTTCAAACCAGTCAAATTTTAAATAACTGGCCACAAAAAGCTAAATCTTAATGCGGTTTCCTACCTGTGTTGCTGTATATACGTAGGTATGGTTACGAAGAAGCGCCTTTAATTTTACATAATGATTACAAATGGGCAATGAAGTAGTGTACAATAATTTTTGTTGCAAAGTTTTAGTTTATATAGAAATTTGTCAATGAGAAATATTTGTCTCCATTGACAACAATAATTTGTGTGCTTTGTTTTAAATAGTTGTAACTGTTTTATCCATGGAAATATTGTTATTTGCATGGGGAGGCTCTATTACCTCAGGAGATACTTGTCAGCTGTTTTCGCCTAGTTAGACACGAGTGCGAGAAGTTGTGTTCGTGAGCTCATCATTAGCCAACTGACGAAACCAAATAGTCCATAATGTCTTTTGAATCAGCACGTCCTTTAGCAATAGGAGTACCAACATAGCATGTAATAGGTGGAGTACACTGAATAAAGGCCTATGATCACGAGGCGTGTGCGATGAATCCAAAAATATCTACCTGAGGGGCAAAAAAAAAGCACGCGAGGAAGAATGTATGTAAGGGGTATTTAGCAAAAAGGTGCCTCCATGTTATTGCATGCACGTAAAGCGATGTTTCCTGGGACAGCCTGCCAGTTTCCTGTATAACTACCCTACCTCAAACTTCCACTTCACACCCCGTAATGATACTGGTCTGATTATCATTCATTCCGTCAACGCTAACGCTGATTTTCTCAATAACAGCCGAGTACCTGTTCTGAAGCAAGACTCTTAATTCATGTACTTTCACTCTCAGTGCTAGATCATTGATTGGAGTATTCAGTATCAATTACTGTCATTCCTTCTTAATATTTAGATGAATTCGAGACCTTATCATTCTACGGTCACTGCATCGTACTTGCCAAGCACTTCCACATTCATCACGATGACTGGGTGTGCATTCAGTATAGAGTCTTTTCATTTTTATTTTCGTCATTATAGCTCCTTCATGTCCACTTACGGCTCCCTCGTTTTTGGTGAAAGGTATTGAAGATCCGTAAATTATTGCGTTCGGCAAATTCTACTAACAGCTCCCACCCGGCATTTTTAGCGCTGATGCAGCAATCTCCTACTGCCTGGTCTTCAGCCTGCTTCTTCCCTACTTTGACATTGAAGTCTCCCGTCAGTATAATATACTGCCTTTTCACCTTACTCATTGCCGATTGCGCATCTTCATAGAAGCTTTCAACTGACGCGTCATCAAGGCAGGGCGTATGCGCGTAAGCCTGCACCACCTTCGTCTTGTATCTCTTATTCAGTTTACTTACAATACCTACCACCCTTTCATTAATCCTATAGTATTCCTCTATGTTGCCAGCTATGTTTCTGGGAATTAGAAACCCCACTCCCAGTTCTCTTCTGTCAGCCAAGCCACAATAGCACGAGATGTGCCCAATCTGTAGCGCTGTAGAGGCCTCATCTGTCCTCCTAACCTCACTGAGCCCTATTATATCCCATTCAACACCCTCTAGCTCATCGACCAGTGCAGCTAGACTTGCCTTACTAGATAAGGTTATAGCGTTAAACGTTGCCAAGTTCAGAATCAAATGGCGGCCTATCCGGACCCGCGAGATTCTTAGCCCCCTCTGCTGCGTTCTAGATCTGACCGCCGCCGTGGTCAGTTGCTTCACAGTCGCTGGGGACTGAGGGCCGTGAGTTAGTTGACGTATGCATATGAGAGGTTGTGGCCACATACGGCAACAGGGTGACCAATACTTCTCTGGTGAGGGAGGGCATTACCGGCGGCGGTCACCGAGGAGGCCGCACCCCAAGCCTCCTAATACAGTTACATCGTCACGCGCGTTTTTTAAAATCGGTTGAGAACTGCGTGGCACCGCGATTTGAACCACGGAACTCTTGCATGCGGGACTGATGCTCTAACCACTGCGCCATCGCTGTATCGCTGATGCTTTAACCACAACGTTATTGCTGTAGGAAACGAACAGCCTAATTGATACGCGTCAAAGCATGAAACCCTCAAGTAAAACACACAAAATAGAGTTTGCAGAGTTTTCGAGGTTAATAAGCGTAAGGTATCCGATGTAAGAAGGTATGCGCAAGTTGATCGTTAAGCGTAAGGTGCCCGATGTAAGAAGGGTAACTAACTGGATCCACGAGAAGGAAAGTGGGTTAGGGGAGGCAGAAAGGTAAATGGGTAGACGGGATTAAGCAGTGTGTGGGTACCAAATGGCAGCGGCAAGCACACTGCTGGACCGAGTTGACTGTAGGAACAAGGAAGTTCCCTTTTTCCTGCAGTGGACGTAGTCAGGCTGATGATGATGATGATGGTTATGTTGACCAACCGTGCACCAGCTATATTGTAGCAAGTATAATAAAGTCACTCATTTTTAGATACCTGAAAAAATAGTTTTGTTCGCTCTACACGTTTCAAACAATGTTTTTCACTCTTCATTTTGCACACATTATATACAATAGGCATCCTCTTTGTAACGGCAATATTTGTACGTTACATCAGTATGAACTTTCCAGAACGACTGGTGAGGAGCTTAATCTTTCCGTGTAAGGCTAAGATGGCATAAAAAGCTGCTTATTATAGGGGCTTCAAGTCTACGATGCCGACCTTGGTCGATTTATTGTTGTGTTCGTTCACCACGCTGTGCTCAGCGACTGTACTCCTTTGTCAGTCGAGCTTGCAGACGTTGGTTTTATATCGCCGCAGGCTCTCAAAGAAAGTTTTAGCCTTCTTCACGTACGTAGCGTGATTATCAGCACCTAGTATGAAGTAAAGCAGTCCACGCGCTTTGCCTTCAGGGAGCCACTCCTTAAGGCACCATTATATGCAGAGCCCAAGCTCTGCATATAGTGGTGAACGCTGCCAACGAATGCAGTACTATATTAGCGAATATACCCTGAGATCTATAGGACCAGCATCTGTCAGGTCTGCCACACAGACACAGGTATACGCTAATAGAAATGCACTTGGAATGCGATGTTAAAACGAAGCGTATTCAGCGAGGTGGGAAGTTCTTTTAGTGAGATAGAAAATCGCCTTGTGGAGCTCCAAGCTCGCCGAACAACCCTGGGCAGTTCAGCTGGCCCGTGTAGTGGCGAAGAGGTAAGGCCTTGATATGGGAGACCTGATCCTTGGCCATCAGTCTTGCGAATAATTAATAAAGTTCTTCCATTCATCCATCTTTCTTTTCCGCCGTTGTGCGCAGCCTCTGGTTGTGATGTCCTGACTTCCTTCTTTTGTCTGTGTTCGTACGCTTTTTAGAATAAATACCTACCAACCCTCTGCTCTTTTCACCTAACATTTTACCTATTGTTTGACGCCAACTATGTTTCTTTGTTTGTATGCTTTGATAGTTTTAGCGAGATTCGAGCGGTGCGTATGTACTTCAGAGTACTTCATAGGTAGTGACACTCGTAAAAGTAAACTTGAGATACTGGTTGTGCAGCCTACGTGTTCCCGTTCGTCATCTTCCCCGAAGTGTTGAAGACGATGTCTTGGCCCCGTCTCTGGACCGGCATATTCTTCTCTGCACTCTTCATCATGTCGATTGACTCGATGGTGAGTCGAACATTCATTATGACAGTGGCATAAGACACTCACTGCTGCTCTGCTACATGTGCAACGATAATCAAGTATAATGCATAAACATTTCAGGAATAGTTCTCACTGCAGATATTCTCTCATGCGGTACCTTCATGTAGTTTATACAAATACATGAGATCGTATATAGCGGTCTATTACGATGTCGTACAATAAAAAATGGCAGATCTCACGTACAGTGGGAATCCATGATATGCGAAGAATCAATGAGACATGTTGATATGTCACTTTAAAATCAGCACAAAGTTACGAGGTGGAAGAAAATGATACCGTACGTGACTTCTGTATCGCGATTATCAAGTTTGCATGTGTCGTTTACCTTCGTCATCTATTCACGTCACGTGATACCAAATTTAGTATATGTGGAACTAGCGAAACGGCCGCGAACACGCTATCAGCGTGGTACGTTGTCATGTTCTTACATGACACGCGTGTCAGGACTATCATATTTGCACCAGTCGTATATTTCGTCATCTACTGACGTCACGTAACACTAAATTTGGTATATGTGGGGCTATTAAAAGGCCGCGAGAGCATCATGAAGGGCCCAATATACTCTCATGTAGCGTTGAAGCGCGTGCACGCTGGGAACAGCGTCGCTACGTTAGCAAAACGCGAGCACTCTATATTCTGACGCCAGGCGTGACCGGCGCGACCGGTGTCCATCAGCGCGACCCGACGGCAACCGGCACGAAATGCGACATGCTGCATTTCACGCCGATGCGTTATCCTGACAACACTGTGTCTCCCTCTTTTCGTGACGGAGGCACGCCGGACGCGCTGAAACGCGCATGGGTCAAAGCAACGCAATGTGGCGCGCGCCGGCGACTGTATGGCAGGACCGGCGCCTGGCATAGCAACGCCGGCGTGACGTAACGAAATGAGCGCCGGCGAGCATGCGCACCGCGTCACGTCGGAATGTATTGGCACCTTGACTGTTGCGTGTAGCCATTTTCTCACATGACGTACACGCATCTAATAAATATCGTATTTGCACCAGTGACATACCTTCGTCATCTGTTGACGTCACGTAATACCAAATTTGGCAAATGTAAAACTAGCGAAATGGCAGCGAGCGCATCGTGAACGTAACATGTAGTCATGTCGTTACATGACGCGCATCTCGGGTTTATCATGTTTGCACGAGTATTAGACCTTCGTCATCCATTCATGTCCCATAATACCAAATTTGGTATAAGTGAAGCTAGCGAAATGGCCGCCAGCGCATCATGAGCGTTGCATGTAGTCGTGTTGTAACATTACGCGCATCTCATCGTTATCATGTTTGCACCAGTCACATGCCTTCGACATCCATTCACGCAGAGTAATGTCAAATTTGGTAAATGTGACGCTAGCGAAACGGCCGCGAGTGCATCATCAGCGTGGCGTGTAGTCATGTTGCTACATGACACGCATATCATGATTTTCATGTTAGGGTTAGTTGCTTGTGTTTCCAATGCAATAATGTCATACCATACCAGTTTTGCAACATGCCGTGTCAATGAAACCACCGCAATATCTGCAGAACCATGAAATGTAAATGATGACATTCATGAAATACATATCATGATTTTCATGTTATGACTAGTTAAATATGTTTCTAATTTGGTCATGCTATGTCATACCAAGTTTTGTATCGATACCATTATCGAAACGGACAGCACAGCGAAAAGTCGTAGGCGGCTAGATAGATAGATAGATAGATAGATAGATAGATAGATAGATAGATAGATAGATAGATAGATAGATAGATAGATAGATAGATAGATAGATAGATAGATAGATAGATAGAGAGATAGATACGCTCAAAGTCGCCGAAGTTCGCTAAGAAATGCTTCGCAATAAAAAAATCAGAACAGGGCCTCCACGGTGGCCTAATGGCTATGGTAATCAGCTGCTGGACGGAAAGTCCCATGTTCTATCCCGGTCGTGGCAGCCGCATTTCGATGCCGGCGAAAGGCAAGATGCCCCCTGTGTTGTGCGATATTGGCGAACGTTAAAAAACCTCGGTTGGTGAAAATAATCTGCAACCCTTCGTTACGACGTCGCTTACAGCTTCGGTCTTTTTCGGGCACTTCTCCTCATGAACAGCAACCAAAACGAAGCGACACGATTATTGCAGCAACTTAACCATGTCACGCACACGGTTCAGCAAGGACTCGTATGTGACAGCTGGTGCAACAAGTAACGATACCATAAAGATTTTTTTTGGTTCATGTCCTCTGAATAACGGCTGTAATCGACTAAGGGCCATAGCGTTACCGCATGTTGGCTAAATAATGGCATCCTAACTAATTACCCGACAGCTCCTGTTTGCGGATGTTTACATTGTTTTCGTGAAAAGAGTATAAGTAAGTATAATAGTTCAGGTGAAAGACCTTCCGGCAAAAAATACTAATCGCGGAGATTTCACATGCCAACACTACCACATTTTAATAATACACGCCATGGTTGAGGACTCTAGTATAAATTTTGAGCACATGGCGATCTTTAACGTGAACGTAAACGTAAGTACCCTGTTGTTTTTGGTATACCGTTTTCATTGAAATGCGGTCGCCGTGGCCGTGAATCGTCCCCATGGCCCGGAGCTTAAGAAGGTGGGACGCTATGTAGCTCCTGCAAGTAGCTCCAGCAATATGGTTGCTTTTCGGGTTCTCTCTGAAAACACCTTCGCCAAACTTGCTCCTACTTCGCGCTTCACCTGGAATTCTGATGACAATAAAATATTAGTTCAATAAGTCACTCAACGAATCAATAGACAAAGAGTGTAAAATCATCCTTATTTGTGGGTTCATGTGCATAATAACGTTTTCTAGGAATAATTGCCAATGTTATCATTCACCGTGCGCAATTCGCAGATCTTCAACGTGTGCACGGTGATCGCGTGCGCGGAGGACTTGTTTCCGCAAGTGCGTGCTAATAACAACATCAACAAGGTGGCCTTTTTTGTGTGCATCGCCATGTTCGTGTCGGGCTTCCCGACTGTCACCCAGGGGGGCACGTACATCGTCAAGCTGCTCGAAGACCACACCATCCACGCCGTCATGAATCAGTTTATACCACTCGTCGAGATCGTGTTCGTCGTTTACATCTATGGTGAGATGCTCAGCGGCTTACTCTTGCCGTCCCTCAATGTTGATAGTTTATGTGCTTCCACTTGCCAAGATGATTGTTTTCAATCAAGTACCAGTGATTTGTCTTTGAGCGCACAAATTCTGTGGCCACATGCCAAGTTATCGTACCGGTAAGCATGGCCTGTTCCTTCACCACAAGTAGAATCTTCAGTACCCTAGGTACGATGCCAATATTCAGCAAAATCTTATCGCGAAGGATTGAGGACGGGAAATATTAATGAGATTTTATTGATAAAACCGCTTATGGCACCATATAACGAGTATATGCTCCTCGCGGTGTGCGAATCGCTATCCGGAAATATTAATGAGATTTTATTAATAAAACCGCTTATGGCACCATATAACGAGTATATGTTCCTCGCGATGTGCGAATCGCTATCCATGTTACCATGAATCGCTTCCATGTTACCAAAAGAGTGAAAGGAATGATAGTTATAGTGCGAGAACAGAACTACGACAAATACACGAAAAGGACTCGAGCGCTGTTTGTCCTCGTTGTGTTCTCGCGCTATACCTATCATCATGTCATACCAACTAGCCCAAACTGCCACACTTATAGGTGAACGGAAGTACATCGAAGCATGAAGAAAACTGGAGTAATGATACAAAGGCTCGCAGCCACATCTTGAAGGATGATTCAAAAGCAGTTTAGACGCTGTGAAATATCCTATAAACTGCGATCCGTAGTGTAAAAACATTGACAGATCTTACTTTTTTGGGTGCCGATGTGATGCGAAGAGGCAGGCAAGCAGTGGCCCACATCGACTTTTTTTATTGCTCTGAGTCAAGCCTAGCTAGGAAACCGACTTGTGCGCTTTGAGTAGTTACCGTCGACAGGGCCGTAGAAAACAATTTTTCTTGGGGGGGGGGGGGAGGGAGGGGGACACTTGCTGAAGGGCTAGAATAATTTAAGTAATAAGTTATTTTGGGAAAGGTATCTATCAACGCGATAGCGTCAAACAGCACCTTTCGCTGCAATTCCGGTGTTAGGGTCGGAAGCTCAATTTCTGAGACAAAAAGCAGCGTTGTCCGTGAGGGAAAATTAAAGGTAGATGCAAATAAAGATTGAAGCGTTTGCACTTCGGCTTTCTTTGCGACACATTTGAGTTCTCCACCGAGAAGCAGAAGTAGGCTAGCGAAGGAAACAAAAGCGATGGTGTGTGTAATTGTGTGTGCGCGTTCATGTGTGCACGCAGATATCGCTATCGTGCTTGGGTCCCCAAATGTCATTGTCAAAGTAACAAGTTGATGGGTTGAGGTTTTCGGACCCAACCTCCTGGCTACAGCATTGATTTTAGCTCTATCATACACGTCAGTTACATCGACGCGCAAAGGGCCGAGTTGCAGTACAACGTTAGAGCAAAGTGTGATTGCTGATCCTAGGTTGTTAAACACTTTTAATCACGTGTGGCTCCATGGGCGTACTCCACGTACTCCATGGGCCATGGCCTGTGGTTATGTGCCGCACATGACTGAAGGAAAGGGTTTCATGAATTAAAGCTAAAGGTAGCTCATGCCCTTAGCGTAATGACGTGCTTATCATGCTCTTCATGCACTAACTGTTCCCCTTCTAATAAAATTTACGTGTAGGAGAACGCCTAGAAGTAGGTGACTAGATAAATAGATGGATGATAGATAGATAGATAGATCAATAGATAGATCAATAGATAGATAGATAGATATATAGATAGACATATATAGATAGATAGATAAATGAGGTCGCGGTTTGCAATGGGCAACTGACCGCGAAGTGCACGCAGGGCTCGTGGCTACCGACGCTACCTGTCGCAGGGAGTGTCTGGCAAGCATCGTGACCAGCCGTGTTCACCGTAACCAAACTAGGTTCAACTTGGTTAACAAGGCTTATCGTGCTTTCGGCTTATGGTTGAGCCCGGGCTCTTTAACTGCTGAAGAGCCCGGGCTCTTTAACTAGTGGCACGTTTCTTTCTGTCTTCCACAGCGTCAAGGTTGGCTATAGCTTTTGAAAACTCATCGCAAGTAATGAAAGCTCCAGGCCTTTCTTTTCTTGTGTTGCAGTGAGCCTTTGCTTCACTGTGTGAGCAAGCGGGATTTCCCTGGTGTTCGCAGCCAGGCGCTACTCTCACCGGAAGTTTTTCCACGCGTACTCGTTATCAGCTCGTCCACGCAAATGGGTTGAAAAATATTCGCAGTGTTTACACGGAGGGAATGATGATGAAGGAGACGAATCGTCCATGCGCCCGTGTCTTTATCCGTTCATGCATCTGTTCACCCGTCCGTGCGTCTAGACAGACGGAAGGTTGGAAGCACGGAGGAACGCATGGACGCACGAATGGATGGATGAACAGAAGCACGAATAGACATACTAACGAACGGATGCACGGACGGATTCCTGGACGCAAGCATGGACATACAGACAGACGTACAGAAGGACGGACGGATGGACAGACGGACGAACGCAAGTATGGACGAACAGACAGATGAACGGGTGGACAAACAGAAGCACACAGGGACAGATGGAGGCACGAAGAGACGGACGGAAGCACAAACGAAAGGCTGGACAGACAGGCAGACGGACGCACGGATGGACTCACCGACAGAAGCGTGGACGGATGGGCAGACCGGGCGAATGGATGAACACACGGATGAATTGACACACGGACCAACGGACGGACGGACACTTCACCCCGCTCATCATCATTCACTCCATGGACATGCTAGGAAAGCCACTAACACCATCTAGTTATAATATTCACAAGAATATAAACACTCAACGCCATTCATTTAGCAATTCCTAAACTAAAGGTGGCTACATACTGCTACACACACAAAAAAAAGAGGGGGAACGAGAATGGAGATACGGGCTCCGTTCCTCCTTCGGCGCAGCGACTTCTTCCCTTTCGGGCGCTTTACCAGTAGCGCCCTGCCCCGCCGCGGTGGTGTAGTGGCTATGGTACTCGGCTGCTAACCCGCATGTCGTGGGATCGAATTCCGGCTGCGGCGGCTGCATTTCCGATGGAGGCAGAAATGTTGTAGGCCCGTGTACTCAGATTTGGGTGCACGTTAAAGAACCCCAGGTGGTCTAAATTTCCTGGAGCCCTCCACTACGGTGTCTCTCATAATCATATGGTGGTTTTGGGACGTTAAACCCCACATATCAATCAATCAAATCAACCAGTAGCGCCCTCTCGCGGCAAGGACCAAAGGAGCAACGTTTCTTCTTCAGCGTTCAAGTTTCTCCTCAATCACGGGGGTTTTGCGCGCGCGCATGTGCACGCCAAGCCTAGACGGCCGCGGCCAGTCACGAGCAATTGCTTTTACCTAAGATTGTTGTAAGCAATGCAGGAGTCACGTTTTCTTTTGTTTGATTGGTGTAAAGTAAAAGCCTCTCTTTTTTTTATTGTCAGGCACTCGCACGATGCTCCGCACACTTTCATGTGTGTCTAGTGTTGTTTCATACTATCAATTTGTCACGAATACAAGGAGCTCTGCTTCCCAAGCCGTCTTGCTTTATCGATTACCTTAGAGTGTACAAAAATAATGATTTTTTTTCGGTGTCGACATACTTGGTAAGCCCACGCACTTTTAGTTTCGCACTGCACCAACAGCACTCATGAATTCAACGAGGCGCGTAAGAAAGCATCACACTTAATTTTTCAACATTCTAGGAAACCTGATACCACAATACAGTTCATGCGTGAAAGCACGATCATATACAATTGATAGAGTTATACGTGCCACTACCGCCATATGGATGTTCTTTGCAGTTTACCCCCCTTCGAATACGGCCACCGTGGCCGGAAGTCAAACCTGCGTCCTCCAGCATAGTCGCACGACACCCAATAAGACTATGTTACCACGGCAGGTGAAAGCACAAAGGGAAACAGGCTGCGAAGTTTAACCGAGTGTTTATTCGCCAGGCTAGGTTACAACCATCAGAAACGTTTTAAACATCATCATAACTACACTTTTGTGAAACGAAACCATTGACTTTTGTCAGTTAAACGAAATTCTCAATGGCATGTGTTTTGAATTGTCCATGCCAGCACTGAGAGGTAAGACAGAATTATGCACGCGGGCCGTATGCCTTTCTCGTCCATGATTCTCTTTTGTCGCGAGAAACTCAACACAACATGCAGTTCTAGTAACAGCTTTGCACAGCAGGTAAGTACTAACACTCACTCACTTTTGTGAAATCCAGAGTAATAACCACCGCAGCCACAGCGCTAACAACAAAATTGTGGCACGCACTATGATTGCAAGTTGACACGCGAGGCGAATAGCGAGAGGCATCTGAAGCAGAAAAGTATGTAGGCACAACATTCTATAACGTTATAGTAAATTTTCGCACTGCAGCGATAGTTCCTCCACTCAAGTATTAGAGCTACCGCGACGCCAACAGCCACTGTAAGAGCTCACGAAAAAATACTGTCGGATGCAAGGTCATCGCTTATTTCTCTTGCAAGACCCGCGTTGTAACGTACTTATACACTGATAGGACGGTCATTACCGCATCAAAAACATTGTCATTGAAGGGCTAGTGGTGTACTGTATTTATGGCTAACGGTCACACTTGTGGTACGCCCGTAAAAAGAATATAAGCAAACGTTAAGACGAAACAACTAAACGAGGTCGACGTGACCACAGAACACCTACCACGACGGAGACAAAGTTTGGTCTGCATGCTGCGCCCTCTCCCAGTAACAAGAAGAAAAAAAAACGTGACCTCCGAAATGGCTAACACACGGCAAGTGTTCGCACTCTGAGAGGCTACAAGAAAAAAAAGTAACTGTGGCAGTGGTCGACAGATGGCGCAGCGTTCGGAATGCCGTGGGCATTCTATGCATAGTTTGGGGGTATCCACTTTTGTGAAAACCTGATAAGCTCTAGTAAATATTCCGTTCTATATTATGCAACCATTGATAAACTTACGTTTGTCTAAGCATCAGATACAATATACTTACGTGTGCGCATGTTGTGGTA